TGGAAGCAAAGGTTCGGGCCACGCAGTGAACCGGAACTCCCACATCGGCAAAGGTAGGATTTGGTCCATCCTCGTTCGAACTGACATCGTAAGTTGACTGCCGTTGCTTGGACCTGTTTTACATTCACGTCGTCTTAAGTGCATTGACGTAAGATCGCTGCTTCAGGTATAAAGTTAGTCGAATAGCGAAACCACTTGGCTTGACGTGGCGTGATTTTCGTCTTGTAAACATCTAGATTTTTTTTATCAAATGTTGACTATAAACAGTTTCTGCATTTTCGGGAATCTGAAAGGTAGGATAAATCTTTCTTTCTACTTACCAGACGCAACTTGCCAAGAATGAATTTCAGTTTGCTAGTTTTATTTTTTTTTTGTAATATGTTAGCGTTTTTGCTATCTCTTACAAAAATTCGTCTTTGAAATTTGTAAAGAGAGTGAGATTTTAATTTTAAGTTTTAAACATTTAGGTTTTAAATGAACCATTGTTGCAGAAATTCGTATTGTATTTTCCTTTGTCAAAGTGTTATAGTTTATATTTACATTTTACTATAGAACTTCAAGTCTGAGTCTTTATTTCCAATTGTTGCCAAATCGTAACCCAATTGTATCGCGTATTTGACTGAATTTCTACACCAAACAAAACTATTCTACAGTAGAACGTAGGCTAATAGTAATTATAATCGACACCCATGTTTTAATGGCTTTGATTTATTTTTCGTCTTAGTCACACATAGTACGTAACAAAACCGACATTTCCCTAAAAAAAAAAAGGACATCTGTTATCCATGCACAATGCCAAAAACATGTTTTATTATTTTTCGAAACCAAATTTGAACATCCTGTAGTTCATTTATTTTATTTTACGTTGTAATATCTCCACTCCGCAATGTCTGCATGAACTGGCGCGTAGTTAAGCAGATTTGCAGGCCGTCTCGTGTTTTGTTGGGTGACCTTGTAGAACGCAGTAACGTGTGAGCGTGCCTTAAGTCCAGTAAAACTTTTGTTCCGCAGAAACGCAGACCGGAAGTCTGATTCAGTCAGTGCCCTTTCGTTATCGGTTTCCAAATAACGCGATTGGGGTCACATCATTTAAATCTTGAGATGTGCGCTTTGCAAAGTATTCGAGGGGCTCACGAAAACTGAGTTCGGTTCGTGACTGGAGCTCGCGTTTTAGTGTCTGTAAATATATTAACTTTGGTCTTAGAATATATTTTGTATAGACAGTAGGTCCCCTTGTTTGTGACGTCAAACATCGTAGGTAAGATTTGGGGTTATCACAGCGGTGATTATGAAAAGGGGTGTCTTGTATCGCCGTGTAGCCTGGTAGACATTTAGAAACTTTTCGCCCTGATGATGGAGGCAGCAAGAACATCTGAACGTTACATACATTACTTACGAATGATTTCGATAAAGCATTGTATTGATTAAGTTACGTGAAAGTTCTTACAACAGTCGGATTTATTGAGTAGCATTTCTAATAAACTGTCATGACGTTTCGATAAATTGTCCTCATTTGTAACCTAGCAACGTGTCACTGGTCATTAGGAAGGGGTTGATAGCTGAATATACCCCTAGATCACGTAAAGGTTAAAATCCCTACTTTAAAGGGGTAGACTGAGATCTCTTTTCAGTTTATGTTGCAAGACGATAACCTATTCGCTACACATGTTTCGCCCTCTTAACATTACTCTTCTTCATGGCGTGTGCCAGTCTGAAGTAGTAAGCCTAATCGTACCATTGGAATCGAAAGTGTTAGTGTCTTCTCTGAGATGTTATCTCGTTTACAGACTCCCGTCGTGTTTTAATGATGTCGAATCAAATAAATTAGCGTAGGTATGTTTTTATTTTTTATTTTAAAGTTTTATGCTTCAGCAATAAAAAAAGAGCGAAATAATAATAATAATTCAATTAATTTATAATACTAATCTATATAATATATGTAACACGTATTAAAAACAAAATGCATTTAAGAAATGGCTGCTGCATTTTGTACCTCAGGGGCAAAGCTTGTCTCGGGTACACAGAAATAAATACTCCATAAAGTCGTGAATATTTAATGGGTTAATAATAATAATAATAATTTGATCGCACAGACATGTTAGCTATTTCTCGGTCTGGGACCTGTTCATATACGTTCTTGGCAGATGATCCAGAAGTGGTTTGCCATTGCCTTCTTCTGTGTGTGAATGGAGTAATTGTTGGGATGCCACGGAGGAAAACTCCGTGTTGCCTAGACCACGGCCTTGCCCAACACAAGTTATAAATTGGGGCACAGCCGGGAATCGAACCCGAGACCCCAGGATTACAATGCCAGCGTTCTAACCGCTAGACCACCGTGGCTTATCCTTAAGGAATAATAGAAATAATAATTTTAAGCAGCATAAGAAAGCAATAGACATTTGTTCTGACAGTCCACCGGATAACGCAATACGAATGTAAGCCATACTGCCTGTTTTACAAGTGCTGCTACCATTAGGTAGATTTTAGCGGTGTTTTTTTATCGTTCAAGTCGATAACGCTTAATTTTGGCTTTTCACGCGCGGCAATTTTATTTTTCTTGTTGTTCTGAGATGTGAAGGTAATGGAGAAGGAATACGAGAGGAAATAGCGAGCGAGATATACGTACAAGAGTGATAAAAGAAAGAGATGAAGATACGAGAAACGACAAATATTCCAGTTGAATTTTAGTAGTGCTCTATCCACCCCAAGTTCTACGTGAAAATAAGAAGGTTAATTATAATCAAACACCAAATTTCGACGTCAGTTGCAGTAATAATCTTCGTTGATCATTGATCGTGGATTTGAGAATCTCTGTCGCTGCTCGTTTAGACTTTGAAGAATGATTTCAATCCAAGAGAGTATTTCGCTGTGTGTGTGTGAGAAACGATGTAGATGATATCGAGCATCGTTAATAAAGAAAACTGGTTGTAGCCTGTACAGGTTGGAACAGGTCACAAGGACGTAGGTTCGTCGAAAATATCTTATCGTTCGCTTGTTACGTTTTCCAAAAACTGACATGTAAATTAGGCGAGCGAGTTCGAAGCATTATCGATAATTTAGAAATCAACTACAGTTTCGGACTACACGCTGATAGATCAACTGTGTTATTTTTTTATTCATTTATAGTTTATTTAACGACGTGTTTTCATTAGCTCAGACTGTGCATCGTCGAATGAGACGATGGAAATGAATAGTGAATTGTAAAGGATGTGGAAGGAAGCGATCGAGGCCTGATTTATGATACTATCTCGAAATTTGCTTGGAGGGACTGAAGTAAACCACGAAAATCTTCAGTCAGGATAGTCGGGTGTCCTTAGATTATACAAACGCTTAATTTCACGTTCTAAGCAACATTTCTGTAGTAAGAAAAGTAGAGTTAAGTCAACTATAAAAAGGCTTCGAGTATTTAAATGTTTTTCGGTAGGTTGTTTGACGACGTCTCTTTGCGAAGTTAAACTCTGGGTATTTATCAACGGGGAGGGTTTAGTCGTACGATTTTCCGGAAGATTCGAAAGAATCTTACGTTTTTATGAAACGAGCCATTTTATTAGGCGCATGTTCAGAATTACTCCAGAAAGCAGTTTGAACTGCAGACGACAGAGAGAGACGTTTCTCATTTAGGCTTCATTCTTATGCCGTTTCCGTAGCGTGTAATTAATTGTCTGGATACCGCGTGGTAAGAATTGCTAATATGTTAGGAGCTTGAAATTTTTAGTAGTCGAAACGAATCTCGAGATATTTTCTATCCTTCTTGACGTGTCAGGCATATCGAAAATGAAATTTGATCTTATCTCCGTAAGTGGATTGATCTGCTTGAGGTTTAACAAGTGTGGAAATGTACGCATTTGTGTCATTGACGTCAGATATTTTTTGGGGACAGTCAGTAAAAATTTGCTTGGTCTGAGTGATGACATAGCAGAGGATTCCCCCCATGTGTTTAAGCTGTTCGCTGGGGATTCCCCACCAAGTCACTACCGCGCGCAGAATCGTGTAAGGTGTCCGTTGTTGTTAGATTTAAACCAGAATTGGGATGTGTCAGGTGGATTTTAATAAAGCTCATAATTACCAAATTTGATGAAATACATTCAGTGAATCTCGAGCCGTTTACGTGCTGAGTTTGACACAAAGGTATGGCGGAGTTAACCGATCAAGTTTTGCAACTTTTAGTTATGATTGTACCTTGAAACAGCTGGTACAAAAATCCTGCCAGTATAATTTATCATACTCATGACGACGAATGTGTGGCAGGAAGGAAAAACAGAATAAATGTCTCATTCATGAGAATCTGAGAGTATCTCAGTTGTTCAAAATAAATATTATCGGCTGTCAGGAAACCCTAAATCTTATTATCATGTTCATAACATCCCATCAACAGACCCTGTCCCGAGCCAGCTGAATCCATTCGACTTCTTCATACGTTTACTGTTACACTAGTTTGTATTTCACTAAATCCCTCCCTTTCGTGTCTTCCCACTAGAAGTGTCTAAATGAATCTGTCTGCGTGCTACATTCCCCGTCCATCTTATCCTTTTGATTTAATCACAATAATAATAGAAATTATTACGCTGATTATGTAGTTTCTCCGTCCTCAGTCTCTGGTCCAGATATCCACGTGGTCGTCCTCCTCTCATGTGCGATTTGTGTGCTGTTCCCTGAGGGCCACAACCCAGAGTCTCGATAAACGACTTAACGTAAAAATAACACAGAAACCATAAGCAGTAGAAACTTAATTGTAATTTAATGTCGGTGTGTGATGATCATTTTGTGAATCCGTTTCGGCAACCCCCACATTCCACGTGTTCTGTGGCTGACGTGCGCCATCTTGTTCTACAAATTTTCTTTCCGACAGTTGCCTTTGTGTTATGTCAGCTGATGGAAGTGATCGGGATTTTGTCATCTGCTCATTTATCGCAGTTAAGCGTGGTTACACGTGTTCTCATGTCATCAGACATTCCCTTCGCTTAGCTTCTTTGTAATGCGTGTTCGATATGAATATTAAACAAATAACGTGTCTCACTGGGGGCGAGGACCGGATTTATTCGTCTCAGGTAAG